TTGCCTTTTGACTCAACTCTTTCTTCACCACGACAGACCAAAGCAACGCCTTCATTGTTGAGGACAAGTCCCAGTCTGTTAATCCACCTTCTACTGGAGGTGGATTCACGGTGGGCACAGCTTCTGTTTTAGTTATTCAGGGACTGGATGGCCTTTAAAAACAACCCTAGTCCAAAACTCCCACAGCACCCCCCACAAACCACCTGTAGCCCAGAGAGAAAAACTCTCATGACCCCATTAGCAACCCCCACAAGGATGAAGATCTGGTCCACTGTTCCACAACCAGGACCAAAGCCACACTGCTGATCCTAGATCTGAGGTTTCACAATGAGTTGGAGCCTGTTTCCAGATGAGTGAAGAGCTCCATGAACAAAACTCAGTGTCATCAAAGAAACTCTTCATTCCTACCAAACTGACTGAACTTTGCGGTGGCACCAAGTAGAATTCCTCTGGTGGAGATGATCACAGCTACTGAGTCAGCCATCCGCAACAACAAAATGAAAGAGGGTGAAGCAGAACAGCTCAGAATCAAAGTTTCATCCAGCCTCAGCAATGACAAACCACCACCTTCCACCATCAGTAGAGAGGAGAGGGATGCACTCACCACTCTTAGCAAGGACAAAAACATCATCATTCTCCCAGCAGACAAAGGAAGGTGCACAGTGATTTTGAACCAGAAAGACTATCATGAGAAAGTTATGACACTTCTTAGTGACTTAAACACTTATGAACCTCTGAAAAGAGATCCAAGAAGAGGTTACAAGAAGTTAATAGACTGCCTGAAAATTTTGGAGCAGGACAAGGCAATTGACCGTATTCTGTACCACAGACTATACCCAGGGGAGGCCACACCTAGTCTGTATGGTTTACCTAAAATCCACAAACAAGGTGTACCTTTAAGACCAATCGTTAGCATGATTAACTCTGTCACTTACAATGTTTCCAAATATCTGGCGTCTGTACTCATCCCTTTAGTTGGCAGCTCAGAACACCACATACAGAACACCATGGACTTTGTGGACAAGGTGAGGGATGTCATCATGGAGACTGATGAAACAATGGTCTCTTTTGATGTCACATCACTCTTTACGTGCATTCCTGTTGATGATGCAGTAGAGGTGGTCAGTTTAAAATTAACATCAGACACCACTCTGAGCAGCAGGACCACGCTTTCCACAGAACAACTGTGTCAACTCTTGAAACTGTGCCTGCAGTCAACCTACTTCACATATGGGGAGCAATATTATAGGCAGAAACATGGGTGTGCTATGGGGTCTCCAGTTTCTCCTATTGTTGCCAACCTGTACATGGAGGAGGTAGAAAAGAGAGCCTTGACGTCCTTTTCAGGGACACCACCAAGTCATTGGTTCAGGTATGTTGACGACACCTGGGTTAAAAT